GGAGGGAGGGGTTGAAGGTGTTGGGGGTTTATTTGGGTACCGAGGGCTTTAAAAGTAAAAACTGGAGGGAGTTAGGGAGAAAGTGTGCGCTCGGTTGTCTAAATGGAAATGGTTGCTACCCCAGTTGTCGTATAGGGGAAGAGTTTCTGGTGGTCAATAACTTGGTTGCCTGCGACTCTCTGGCACAGACTTGTGGCTTTGACACCTCCAAGAGGGCTGGTGGAGGACATTCAACAGGGCCATCCTGGACTTCTTCTGGTCAGGCAAACACTGGGTCCAGGCGGCAGTCCTCTTACCTGCCGGTGGCTGAAGGGGGACATGGACTTATAGACATTCAGTCAAAAATTGCCTCATTCAGACTCCAGACTGCACAGAGACTCCTTTTCACTGTGGTCCCAGCTGGATGGACATCGCTCGCTGCTGCTGAGGAGAGCTGGACGGCTGGGGTACACTAAGCAGCTCTTTCTGTTAAAGCTTGAGGAGGTGGATCTCACTGGATTAACATCCTTTTATATGTCTGTAATGCAGGCATGGAAAATGTACACATTCAAAAGGGAAAAACTGAGAGTCTGGAATGTGGATCTTTGAGGAACCGTTATTTTTAATGATTTCATAAGGACTCCAACTTTGCAGTCAGCCAGTCTCCGGGCCAGTTTCAGAGAGAGCAGGCTGCACAAAACTGGGTCACCTGGTAAGACTGACCTGGACGCCCTCAAAGAAAGGACCAATATCACCTCCAGCCGGGTGGCTTGAAAAGAGTGGTGGAGGAAGTCTTTGCTGCACTTCCAGTAAAACTTGTGACATTTCTAAACATTGAGAATCTGTGTGAGCAGTGGAGTGAAGAGGGGCGAATACAGCTTCCCATCTTTGTCTGTTACCCCAGATGTCGGGGAGTGGCAGGAAAGAGGAGGTGGACTGCTGTCCTTTAGTCACTCCTGTTCTGGGAAAAGTTCCAGGATGCAGGGAAAAAGGCACTCTATCAGTCCTGTGTTAAGGTCCTACATCTTCGTGGTCTGTCGGGAGTGAAAGAGTCGAGGTGGATCGAGTTTTTTGGCCCGGAGGTTTCCCCGAAAGGCAGCTGGCGGTCCCTGTACAAGCTGCCTGTTGAGAAGAGAACAGCAAGATCTCCAGTGGAGAGTTGTGCATGGGGTTATAGCCACGAACAGATACAGAGCACACCTTGATCCAGGGGTGGGAGAGGAGTGTTTGTTTTGTTCACTAACTGAAACCTTTGTCTCATCTGTTTGTTGAGTGTCCCAGGCTCTCACTCTTGTTTGTCCTTATGAAAAGCTTGTTTGAAGCTCTCGGGGAGGATTTCTCTTATGCATTGTTTGTTTTTGGGCCAAAGTATTCTGCAAAGAAAAAGACTGTACATACACTGATGAACTTTTTATCTGGCTCGGCTAAGTTGGCCATTTGGCTTACACGCAAGAACCGAGCTCAGGGTACTGGCTGTGTGGAACCGGTGCTGGTTCTGGAGGGACTTTTGAAGGCCAGACTGAAGGTAGAATTTGCCTATTATCAAATGATGGACAATGTGCAAGACTTTAATAGTGTATGGGCTGTGGAAGAAGCTTTGTGCTCTGTGGGTGGGGATGGAGAGCTGATTATTCATTTTTGATGCAGTAAATGTTGTTTTTGTTGATGTTGTGATTTTTGTTGCACTTGTTTTATTTTTTATTTATTTATTTATTTCCTTCTCTTGATCTGAGTGATGATGTGACAGTGTTATAATTTTCTCCAGGTAGTGGTAAAATAAAAGGTATTTTGAAAACCAAAACCAAAACCTCTCTCCTCTTTCCTCTTTCCTCTTTCCTCTCCTCTCTTATCTCATCTCTCCTCTCCTTTCTCCTCTCTCATCTCTCCTATTTCCTCTCTCCTCTCCCCTTTCATCTCATCTCCTCTCTCCTCTTCTCTCTCCTCTCTCCTCTCTCCTTGTTCCTCTCTCCTCTCTCCTCTCTTCTTGTTCCTCACCCCTCTATCCTCTTTCATCTCTCCTCTATCCTCTCTCTTTTTTCCTCTCTCCTCTCCTCTCTCCTTGTTCCTCACTCCTCTCTCCTCACTCCTCTCTCCTCTTTCCTCTCTCCTCTATCCTCTCTCTTTTTTCCTCTCTCCTCTCTCCTCTCCTCTCTCCTTGTTCCTCTCTCCTCTATCCTCTCTCCTTTTTCCTCTCTCCTCTCTCCTCTCCTCTCTCCTTGTTCCTCTCTCCTCTATCCTCTCTCCTTGTTCCTCACTCCTCTCTCCTCTTTCCTCTCTCCTCTCCTCTCTCCTTGTTTCCTCTATCCTCTCTCCTCTCTCCTTGTTCCTCACTCCTCTCTCCTCTCCTCTACTCACTTCTCTCTTCTCGCTCCTCGGTTGAACCTGAAGGAGCCTCCAATAAGGAGCCTACCAAATCTGTTATGCATGTTTTGTTTATTTCCCTCATCCACACCTCCACCTGTCCCCTCCCTCTGCTTTCTGTCCCGCCCCCTCACCTATGATTGACACCTCTGTTTATTCTCTGTGTTGCTTGCAGGTGTCAGAATGAACTACATCCAACATGGCGGCTCTGCTGCTGCTGCTGCTTCCAGGCCTCAGTGCTGCTGCCACTGCAAGGTGCTTCTGGGAAATGGAGTCCGCAGTGTCAAGGAGCTCAAACAGGTAAGAAAAACTTCAGATGTTTTAAACACTGAAACAAACATGGCAGACAGGAAGTGACTGTTTGTGTGTGTTGCAGGAGGGCCAGTCAGGACCAGGATCCAGTGTGGTGTTCTGCAGTCCAAACTGCTCTGCCCTCTACAAACCTGACGTCCAGAGCAGAACACCTGGAAACAAGGTGAGGCTCCAGGTCAGGTTATCTTTGAATGATCAGATAACAGCTGTGACTAAATCAGCCTGAAGGCGGCACCACTCTCCTTAGAGGTGTTATGTTGTGAACCTGTCAGATGATGTCATGGCATGCAGATGATGACATCACAGGGTGTGTCTGTCCTCAGGTTGCGGCGCCCGTCATGTTGCCTGGATCTGAGAAGCCCCCTCCCAGCAAAGTGCAGCATCAGTACACCAGCAACATGTCCTCCATCACTGTCCACTCCCTCCTCCAGACTCCTCCCACATCCTCCTCCTCCCCCCCTCTCTCCTTCCCCCCTGCCTCTGCCATCACCATGGAGACCAGGCCCCGCATGGACAGCCTCAAGGTGGGAGTGTTAAAAGATAAAACATCACAAGTCAGGATGCTAAAATTGAATCACCACTCTGGCACACTCTTACTCTTTGACACCATCGATAATTAAAATAAAAAGGATAACTTAAGTTGATTGGTTACCTGACAGAACGACCTTCTGATTGGTTAACAGGTGAAGGTGAAGTTAAAGCCCCGCCCCCGAGCAGTCACAGTTGGAGAGGACTCGCTGTCATCTCGGCACCTGAAGAGGATGAAGAGCTGCCGCTGGAGACGCTGGAGCATTAGCATCACATTCAGCAGGTTAGCATGTTAGCATCACACTCTGCAGGTTAG